ATTTTTTTCTTATTAGTTAAAAAATCATAAAAAAATGCTTAAAACGTAGTCTAAGTAAACATTAAGTATTTTTTTAAAAATTGAATAAAATGTTAGTTATATTAATAACTATAATTTTTTCCATTTAAGGCTGAGACACTCTTTTTACACGTAAAAAAATATATTTATTTTTATATGATTATATAATCACATAATAAAAATGCGTTAATTATAATGAAGTATATGAAAGTAAAGTATAATTTTGAATTAACTACCTGATGGTTCAGTTTTATTTATAACTAAATCTTTATTGGCTTGTATAAGACATTGTACGAGATCATCCCTCAAAATATTATTATCTTCTCTAAATTTCATTGTATCACTAAAAGCAGATACGAAAAATTCCACTACCTCTGGTTGTACATCATTGATCAATTTTATTCATCGATACGTCAAATGATTACAACTTGTGTCTGGTTATTGATATTTTCCTCAGAAATTGAAAAAAATTCTCCCTTTATCAATTAAAAGTTTCTAAACTAACTTTCTTCAAATAGACAGTTTGAATTATTATATTTTTGCTTTGTGTGAAGCTAAGTAGTTATAAATTTTACCATGATATTATTACTATTTTTTTTTTGTAATATTTCAGTATATTTGTTAAATAAGGTTTGATACAACGATAAGTTTTAACTACCATGTTGTTAAGTAATTTTATTTTGTTTATAATTCATTTTTTGTTTATATCTGTGTGGTCTACTACCAATCTCTAGAATTAAAATATTTTTGGGTACATGTTATTGTAACATGTTGCCAAAAACATTTCAGTATAATTGTAACTAAATCAATTCTAAAAATATAATTTTAGTGTAATAAAAAGTTCTATAATTTTTAATCGAGTTAATATTTAGCAATAATTTCTTGTTTAATAATTTTTATACATTGAAACTATAATAGTATTAATAAATGAAGAAAAGAACGCAATCATAGAATGATTACAATAATAATACTACTATTATTTATAATTTTACTTTTTAAAAACACCCTACAGAAAGGATAACTTGATTTTCTTTTATAGAGTTCGTACATTTTTGAAAATATTATTTTATTCAAAAAAAAATATATATATTATATAAATATATACTATAAATTATGATATATCAGTATAAAAGTGTAATAATTAATAAAAAAAAATTTTCCCTATAATATAATGAAATTTTATCCATATTATTGAATAAAAATTGAAATCAATATAGTAAATTACTATATTGTAGTTATTTTTAAAATCAAAATACAGATTCATTTTGAAACATTATGATTAAACATAAATAATATTTATTGAATTGTAAATATTATTGTATTATTTTCTTAAATCTTAACGATATTCCATTTTTGGGAGTAAACAGTATAGGTTTTACTAAAAATACTAATGGTATATCAGTTTTTTCGCATGGTTCTACTTCATAATTAATTAATAATTTTGTCAATGCCAATTTCATTTCCATTTGAGCAAAACGCTTACCTGAAATAATGATGAATACTTAAATTATATTTAGTTCGAAATTATAATCTATTTTTTAACATACCAATACAATGACGTGGACCCTCTCCAAATGGCAAATATGTTCCATTTGGTCTTTTATCTTTTTCTTCAGCAGTAAATCTATTGGGATCAAATATCTTAGGATCAGGATAGAATTTGGAGTCCATATGCAAACTATATATGGATATCATGGTTTTCATGCCTTTCCGTAATATAAAGTCATCATCAATTTGATAATCCTTCGTCACTTCTCTATTGAGAAAAGGTAATGGTGGATACATTCTAAGTGTTTCTTGTAAGATGAAATAATTTTATCATTATACCAGTTTTAGAATTTTGTTTAACAATTAAGCAAGTATAAAACTGTATTTAAATCTTACCAGCTAAAACCATCTCTAAATAATGCAAGTCAGACAAAAATTCACTATTGATTTCTCCATTGTGCTTAGACATTAATTGAGTCATTTCTTTGCGAACTTTGTCTTGGATAGGTTTGTTTAATGCAAGTTCATATAAACAAAAGCTCATAGTGGAGGAAACAGTTTCAAAACCAGCAAGAAACATTAAAATAGCATTTGCAACTATGTCTGAGTATTTATATTCAACTTTAAAATAAACATATTACATAGTAATTAGTATTTTAGTTGTATATATATATATATGTAATCAAACACAATAAATGTTGGTTTGAAGAAGGTAAATAATTTTAGATATTATCCAAATTTGAAAAAAAAATTTTTTGAAATGAATTAGCACCTTTTAAAATTTTGATTAATTATTAAATTTTCAAAAAAATTATAAACTTTGTAAAAAGTACGTCCATTTTATAAAAAGTTATTTCAATATAAAATGAAAACTAAAAATATTAACATTGACAGTTTTGTGACTACTGTAATTTTTTAGAACATTTATCTTAATTGATGGGAATAAAGATAATTTTTCAAAATTATGGTGTTGACAGCTTTAATTCTGTATGTTTTGTAACCATTTGAAATAAAATTAAAGTAATATCAGTTCAATAAGAACGAGAGTAATAGCATACAAGACACAAAATATAAACAAATAAGGTTGAATAAAACATAAAGTTTGTTTACAACACTTTGAAATTAAAAAAATACAAATTAATTAAATAGGTCTTGTATTGTAGGCATGTAATAAATTCATATATTTAGTAATACAAATCTAATAACTTTGTATATTACTTTTAATAAGTACAGCTCAAGGTTATTATAACATTACAGTAAAGTATACTTTAGCAAGGTTAAAGAATGTATAATCATATGTAATTGTAGTTACTATATTCACCCAAAAATTTTTTTATTTTAAATGATAAATAATAAAAGAGCCCATCTTGTACTCATTTTTTGTTGCTATGCAAACAAAATATTATTATATCTGGTATTACTATCAGCTGTATTTAAAAAAATAAACTATATTTTATTTATAATTTATATGTTGATATAAAATATTTTCTTGTTTGATCCTATTACCATTAAAAAAATTATCCTTAAAACAAAAAACATTTTGCAAATTACTTACGTATGAAAATAATACTTTTTGATTAAATCCATCAACACATAATTTTAAAAATTAATTACATGGAGCCTATTTTACCCAATTTAACTTATTCATTATATTTGAAAAACATTAAAATATATACAGAGTAACTGATTTATCATTAACCACTAAATTACTTCTAAAATAACAATAATGTTAAGGATTTTTTTATTTTTGTGTACTATTACCTAATTTTTTAATTATAAATCGTTATTATTTCTGTAAGATCTAGTGAATAATGATAATATCCTGTATATCCGTTTTAATTATAAAAATATCAATACTGAATTTCAATGTAAATTATATTTAAAACACAAAATTATATCAGAATATTAACTAAAATTATTAAGTCATAAATTAAAATTAAATTACCTAAGGGTTCAGTTTTCTTTAAAACAAGATCTGTGTTAGCTTCTATTAAACATTGGACAAGATCGTTTCTCAAAATACTATTTTCTTTTCTATATTTCAGAGTATCATTGAACGCAGATGTGAAAAATTTACCTGCATTTTCTGGCATATCTTTAACGTTTAAAATTTTTTTTAAAGGAGGATATATCCATTGTACTAATTGACTGGTCATAGTCGACCATGTTGGAGTTAACATTTCTTTGCCGGCTTTTCGGAAAGGTGAATCATCATCAGTAATTGAATTGAGTTCCAATCCAAAAGCACATGTTCCAATAACATCTGTTGAGTAGTTTCCCATCATATTGCGAACTTCAATAACATCATCATTTTTTAAGTTATTTTCAATTTTATCAAGTAATTTACTACTGCATTTTCCTATTTGTTCATACATATTTTTCAGTANTTACTGCATTTTTCAATTTGTTCATACATATTTTTCAGTAAACGAGAAGTAAATATTGGAGAAATTTTAGCTCTCATTATTTTCCATTGTTGTCCTTTCATAAAAAGTAAATGATTAAAAAGTGGCTCACCGTTGCCAATAGGTGCACTTCGGTCAGTAAAATGTGAAAAATCCTTTACCAAAATATTATTTATAAGCTCAGGATCTCGTATAAGCAAAACTGGTGTCATCATCTGATATATACCAACGTATTTTTTATCACTGGGATGTCTATAAATTTTTTCAAGTATATTAACAATCATTTTTACTCCAAGAGCAAATTCTATGAAATTCCCAAATAAAGGTACAGGACGAAAATGAGGAACATTCCTTTTGTGCCAATAACTAAAAGTCAAAGTACTTAAGTAATACAATAATAATACCACTAAAATAACTAATGTTAATGTAACATCAAACGAATAAAAACTGAAATCACGCGGCATCGTTATAAATTGCTTCTCAATTATAAGTAACTATTTTAAAAATTCTATATTTTGTAAATATACTATAAGTTTTCTCACTCAAATGTTTGAGTACAACTACATAATAAAATATTGTTGTACATTGGATTGCCGTGAAATCCCCTCCATACAATGCGGAATTCTAATTATATATTTCGTAAATATCTGCATGTTAATAAAAGTTTAACACAAAACAAATTGTCTGAGGCATCTAATACTTTTAAACAAGACCTTAATAATAACCTTATAAACTTAGTATTATATTAGATACTATGAATATATGTTTATTCTAATAAATCTCAATAAATACAACAAATGTATACATTTTTTAATGGACAATTATTATGTCTCAGTAAATATCTATTTTAAATACAAAGGTAATTAATAGAATATATGTTATAAATGTTAGACTATCTTTTTTTATGTTATTAACAAAATTTAATTTTCTATGACTATAAACTCATAAATATATTTTTTAATTTAAATAAGGGCAAAAAATAATTCATTTAAATTATGGTAATATTATATTTAAAAAAAAACAAGATATTAATAAATGTACCGTTTCATATATTTTTTAAAAATTATCAATAAAAAAAATGTCCATATTTTTTATAAAGGCTATTCAGTAAGCAAAGAAACGGGTTTCTATTGTTCTCAATGTTTGTAAAAATTTACATGTTTCTATACTTTTTAACACTCTGTGTATGTACTTGTGTATGATAATACTACATAAATGTATGCGCCGTAATTAATGAAAAGTACGAATATAAAATAATGACTGAAACGAATTTAGATACTTTTAGAAATTTTAGATTTAGCATTTAACTTGATATTTTTCTCAAGGTATCATCGATAACAATACCATATACGAGTTTGTAAAAATATTTTTTTTCGTAGCAAAAGAATCTGCTTATGTACTTAAAAAATGTATGAGACAGGCTAGAAACAAAGGAGGACAAGAAAAATATCAATAGACTTGAAAAATGAAGAGAAAAATATCTGAAGATTATCATTATGAAAGGTGTATAATAATTGTTGATAATAGAGTACTATCGAGTGATGACGATATAAAAAAAAATGTGAAAAAGTTTTTTTAAAAATTATTGAATAACGTGGAATGATGGACTGATAAATATAATAAGTGAGAAAGAAGTATGGGAGGCTATGGCATGGTATGGTATATATTAGGCGACATTAACACAAAAAGATTGAAGGACCCAACCGATATTTAATGGTAAAGGTGACACATAGGAGTGTGGAAATTATAGAGACATAAAGCTTATGAATCATAGTATGAAAATTTGGGAAAAGGTAATAGATAAGAGAATAAGAAATGAGACATCGGTATCTAAAAACCAGTTGGGATTTATGCTTTGTAAGTCAACAATGGAGCCATTATTTTATGTGAGGCAATTAATAGAAATGTTTTGGTAAAAGAAGAAAAAGCTGTGTATGCTATTTATATATTTGGAAAAATTGTATGATAAAGTACCGTGAGAGGTTTTAAAGTGGACATTAATGAGGAAAGGCGTCCTGAAAGGTACATTAATATAATAGGAGATATGTATGAAGGCATTTGTACCAGTGAAAAAATGTAAGAGGAGTTACAGAAGCTTTTAGGGTAAAATTAGGAGTGTACCAAGGTTCTGCTCTAAACCAATCTATAGTAATGGATGAAATTACTAGAGAAATATAAAGAAAGGTGACGAGGATGTAAGATACAGGTTTAAGTGCGGGTGGGTAAAGTAGAGAGATGTGATGGTGTGTTATGCGATAAAATAATTAAAATGAGGCTAAAAGGTAAGTTCTATAAGACTGTAGTAAGATCAGTTATGATGTATGGTTTATAGCGCTGGATGGTTGAAAAGAGAATAGAACAGAGAATGAGTTTAGCAGAGATGAGAATGCTTAGAGAGATGTGTGAAGTTACTAGAGAAGATACAATAAAGAACGAACATATAAGAGTAAAGGTGTAACGTCAATTATAGATAAAACGAAAGAAAATAGACTTGGATGGTTTTGTCATGTTATGAAGAGAGAAGAATTACAGTTACAGTTAGAGGTATGAAAGTTGAAGGAGGAAGAGATAAAGGAAGACCAAAAATATGATGGAGAGGTATAATTCAATGCGATATGAGATCGGCTGAGGTGATCGTAGAGGATTTTGTCAAGTTTAAGGAATAGGAAGTTAAGGATAAGGATGGCCGATCCCAAGTAATTAGGATTGAGGCGAGGGAAAAGAAGATGAAGAAGAAAACAGTATTTAAAAAATACCATTTTGCTAATATATTTAATTCCTTAGTAAACAGAAAAAAAATATGCTTTATTCATGTATATCACGTTTATTCAATCAAATATTTGAGCTTTAAAATAGTATTTGAAAAATACGTCAAATAAACTACTTTTTTTCCTCTTAAATTAAGAGTTTATATGAATCCTAAACTTTTATCCTGGTCTCATTTCGTAGTTTTTGAATTTGGATTAATTTGCTATTCACTTGTATACTAATTAATCTAATAACTTAGAATGTCATATAATATTAAACAACAAGCATTAATATAAATATTGTTAATTCAAATACCAAAAAAAAACTTTCCATAAAAAATAAACTGTAAATATAAATATACATACAATTTTTTTATTCGAGGGAGACAAGTTAAAAAGAGATATTTCCAAATATGATAACGTTGAGTTATATATAATTCCTTGTGTATTAGATGGTAGAAATTAATTTTGATATAATTGATATAATCTGAGTTGAAATAATTATTTCTTTAGAAAAATTTTCAAAAAACTAAATTTTAAAATTACGACAAAAGTGGTAACTACAAATGCTATAAGATATATACGTTTATAAATTTCATTAAAATTATATGAACAATACCTCAGCCAGTACAAATTTGTATTAATTGACTTAAAAACTTATTGATATGATTTTTCCAACATAATAGTTTTGTGGGGTTAACCCTTAAATATAAAATAAATAATAAATTTTATAATATTAATTATAAAATAATAATTAATAACATTATAAAAATAAAATATATTATTAGTAAATAAAATACAATAATAATAATATAAATAAAACTGAAAATTTAATAAGTAATCTATTTTATAGTTTTCTAAATCTTAATTTAATTCCATTACTGGTTGTGAGTACTGGTGTTCTTGCTAAAAATTTTAGAGGCATATCAGTTTTCTCACATGTTTCTACCTCATATCTTGTTAGCAATTCAGTCAGCGCTATTTTCATTTCCATTTCAGCAAAACGTTTTCCTATGTTAAAGTACACATTACCACTTAAAAAAAATAACGAGTTAAAAAAAATGTAATTAAATATTCTTAACTTACCAATACAAAAACGAGGTCCATCTCCAAAAGGTAGATAAGTACCACTAGTTCGCCCTGCTTTTTCTTCGTCAGAGAATCTATCTGGATCAAATTTCAAAGGTTCAGGATAATACTTACTATCCATATGCAAACTGTACATAGGTATTAGTATTTGTGAGCCTTTTTTTAGTATTAGATCTTCATCGGGTAGTTGATAGTCCTTTGTCACTTCTCGAGTGAGCGAAGGTGCCGGTGGATATTTTCTTAAAGTTTCTAAAAAATTAAATTAAATTAATAATGGACATACATGTAATAAATATTTCGAGAAATTTAATAAATTATATTTTTACCTGCTATAACCCTTTCTAAATAGTGCAAATCGGATAAAAATTCACTATTGATTTTTCCATCGTGTTTTGCCATTAAATGAGTCATTTCTTCACGAACTCGATCTTGGATAGACTTGTGTAATGCAAGTTCGTAAAGACAAAAACTCATTGCGGTAGAGATGGTTTCGAAACCAGCAAGATACATAAGAAAAGCATTAGCAATTATGTCCATGTACTGAAATTCAACTGTAAAATACATATACATTATAGATTTCTACGAATGTAAAACTCAATAGAAACTTAGTATTTTTTGTTAAATAAACTTGATATTTTGTTAACTTGTTGCCAAGTTGTAAAACTTATACGGGTCTTAGTTTAGTGGAGGTAGATGAAATTCGTACAGGTGTACGTATACTACGCTCGAGTTTCACTCAATATATCATACTGTTTTTAACTCAAAGAGTACTTGCCCCAAAATTGTTATTAATCATTCAAAATTATCTATAAGAAAAGATATAAAAAATGATTATTTTCAAATTTTTGAAAAAAAAAAAAACAAAATTTACAATTTTTTTCTTATTAGTTAAAAAATCATAAAAAAATGCTTAAAACGTAGTCTAAGTAAACATTAAGTATTTTTTTAAAAATTGAATAAAATGTTAGTTATATTAATAACTATAATTTTTTCCATTTAAGGCTGAGACACTCTTTTTACACGTAAAAAAATATATTTATTTTTATATGATTATATAATCACATAATAAAAATGCGTTAATTATAATGAAGTATATGAAAGTAAAGTATAATTTTGAATTAACTACCTGATGGTTCAGTTTTATTTATAACTAAATCTTTATTGGCTTGTATAAGACATTGTACGAGATCATCCCTCAAAATATTATTATCTTCTCTAAATTTCATTGTATCACTAAAAGCAGATACGAAAAATTCCACTACCTCTGGTTGTACATCATTAAGCTTAAGTTTTTTTTTTAATGATGGCGATATCATTGTTACCAATTGACTTAACATTGACCAAAAATCAGGTTCAAATATAGTTCTGCCAGCTTTCCGAAAAGGTGAATCAGGATCAGTAATGGTATTCAGTTTTAATCCAAAAGCACAAGTACCAATAACGTCTGTTGAATAATTTCCAATCATTTCTTTTACTTCAATAATGTCATCGTTTTTAAGATGTTTTTCAATTTTTTCAATTAATTCGTTACTGCATTCTTTAATCTGTTCGTGCATGTTTCTTAACATGCGAGATGTAAAAACAGGACTGATTTTGTTTCTCATTATTTTCCATTTTTGGCCTTTCATTAAAAACAGATGATTTGCAAGTGGACCATCAGGATCAATAGGTACTGCGTGATCGGTGAAATGTGAAAAGTCTTTAATAAGTATCTTATGAATAAGCTCAGGATCACGTATCAACAAAATTGGCGTTCTCATTTGGTATATTCCAACGTATTTTGCTTTACTTGGATGTCTATAAATTTTTTCAAATATGAATACTGGATTTTTCAACCCAAGTACAATTTCTAAGATATGTCCAAACAGCGGTATAGGACGAAAATGCGGTACATTTCTTTTGCTCCAATAATCATAAGTTGATGTACTAAAATAATAAAGTAATAAAATCAATAAAATGAACAACGCTACCGTTATTTCAAAAGAATTTATAATAGACAACATTATGGCTAATACGCACTTCATTCAAGAACTATGTCACAAATATGTTGAAATCCTTAATCATGTCTCTAGACTCCCTCCGCTTTACCACCACCAATATTTAATAAATCTACATTAACAAAAGTATCAGTAAGAATCGTAACTAAAATCGTATGTTCCTAATTTGGAAATTAAATATACTTGTTTAAAGAGTTTTGAATAATTATTGCAGAATTAGTTATTATTATTATTATTATTAATATTTTGTTTATATATAAGAATATTATGAATAAAATAAGTAAATAAGAGTTAAAAGAATTTCCTTACATTCAAAAAATATTTTCGTCAATACAGCTATTTGCAGTAAATGACAAATTAATAAATTTTTCAGTATGACAATTTTGTCTTTTTGTAATTTTTAAAGTTCTTAATTCTTAAAATTTTGTAGTTAAATAGAGTGTCCTAGAAATATATTTTTTTTTTCATAAAAACGTTTTATATCAATTTTTAAGACAAATATTCATTTTATTATTTTATATAAGTTTCTTGGCGTGTATATTAAAGCTAAAATATAATAGTACTTAACACAACAATTTTAAAATCGATTACTACTTATTCAAGTAGAAGTGTTCCTAAATCATGTTATGGCGCATTTTATATTTAATACATTGCATTTATTTATACCTACTAAATTAATAACGTTTACAGCAAAAAACTTTATCGCTGATAACACAGTATAAAATGATGTTATCACTAAATGAAAATAATATATGAATTTGAAGGAGCGTCTTCTACAACACTACATAGCTAGTATCACAAACAGCAAATAGTTTTTTAACCAACAATAACATGTTTTATTTATTAAATGATTATGTTTGTTGAGGTATCCTAAATGTAACAGTTTTAATTATTACTTTAAAATAAATATAATTGTCATAAAAATAAAGAGATAGGTTATATTGTAACGAATTTAACGATTTATTGATAATGTTAATTAATTGGAACTTGAATAAATTATTTTATTTATAATATAATTATAATAATAAAATAATAATAAATTATATAAAAATATAATAATTTATTTTATAATAAAATATTTATCTATTTGACATCATTATTTGACTAAATTGCCTTATAATCATAGAACGCTTGAGGTTTAGGTTGTGAAGACTAGCATTGATGTTTGCTTTAGTCGGCTACTATAATATACTTCTACCGACCTTGTTAAATATATGAGTCTATAATTATATTTATTTTTTATTGGAATTAAACTACTTGGGAGTAACAGTCAGAATATTAGTTATTTGCAGTAAAAATATTTTTCAACGTTAGATTATCTAGGTACCTGCATGCTATTGAATTAAAGTATCGGAGGTCGTCAATTTAAAAAGATATTTTATTTTATTACTCTTAACGTTTCATCAGAACAATAATCGTATTAAAAATAAATAAGATAAAAATTAAATAATATTTAATAATAATTAAAATAACAATTATTATTTATATATATTTATCTCTAGTAAAAGAACCATTTTTTTTTTTTTAAGAAATGTATTTTTTAATTGAATTTAACCATCTTATTCAAGTTTAAATTTAATTAAATTGATAATTAATTTATAACTCATACCATTTACAATTATTTTAAACTTTACTCACATGTGAAATTTATTACTTCAAAATTTCAATTAGTAAAATAAAACATGATGTGAGATATAATTGTGCTGTTCCTCACAATGTAATTTTTCGAAAACACCATATATTTAACTTTCTTAAATAGCCATTAATAGATAAAAATTAATTAGTGGTAAAGCTAAAAACACTACTCTTGGTTAGCTATATTTATGAATCTCTCTTATTTAATTCTTGAAAAACATATTTGTTAAATAAAACAAATGATTAAATATAAATAAACTATTTAGGCATTTTAGTTGATTAAAAGAATCTTTGTTCATTTTTATAAGTTAAATAATCAGCATATTATATTTATACTAACTACTGCAATATTAATAACATAATTCTTTACCAATTTTAGATTCGATGCGAAGCTGAGAAGGTATTTTTTTACTATGATGTGTTTTTTTTTAAATTTTTTGTGTCTGTTACCACTTTTTCTCAGCTTTCGCTGAACCGATTTCTTTCAACGATACGTTGATATCTTTTGACGAAAAGATCACGAATCGTATCTAGTCGAAGACATTGCCTAAATATTTCGTAAATACTTTTGATGTAACCCACGAACTATATCCAAAAAAACGGTAGCACAGTGGGGTCGCGGCATAGTGGAGACATTGCATAGTAGGGTCCAGTATAGATTTAATCTGACAGTGATTAAAATCACTATCATAAGAAACGCTTCGATGCAAATCTGTAGATAGTGTTTAATTTTAAAAAATTGATGGATAATTGCAAAAGCAACATCAACTTCTATTAAAATAAAATACAAAACCCATAATTATCATACAAAAATAGTATATTTTTCAATATGGTAGCCATTTGCGTATAGAAGATAGATCGTCGGGACAAATTTTTTTTTTTCATTTTGTAGTACATAAAATAAGCTTTAATTTTATATATGTTTAAAGGACGCAGTATTTCCGGAACATTTTCAAAAATTAAGTTGAAAAAGTTATTTTTTGTAAAAAAGTTACTATTTTAAATCCTCCCAGTGAGCAGAATAAGTGTTAGATTTTCAAAAAAAATTATATCAAATGAAAGGGAAATATCTAAGGTTTCAATACAAAAGAATATTATTTATTATTATTTATTTGTTCATTTTTGAAAAAGTTATGGCAGTTTTAAGTACAAAAAACATCCCGATAAAATGTAATTTTTATCCCAAACATTACATTTTTTTTTAAATTTTCGACAGCCATTTGCACATAGAAGATTAACATGTCGGGACAAATTTTTTTTTTCATTTGATAGTATATAACATAACCTTTGATTTGATATATGTTTAAAGGACGCAGTATTTCCGGAACATTTTCAAAAGTTCAGTTGAAAAAGATCTATGTTTTTTACAATATTTTAAGTTTTGAACGCCCCCTATATAAGGGGAAATTGTCCAATTTTAATAAAAAGTATGTCAAATGAAAGATGTACTTATAATGTATTTAGAAAAAAAAATTTGTGCTGATATATACATTTTTCAAAAAGTTATAGCATTTTTAAGTTGAAAATTTAAAATCGAAAATCGAAAATTTTAACACAAAAATAGTGTTTTTTTAACTACGGCAGCCGTTTAAATGTAGAAAAAAAAGTGTCGGGACAAATTTTTTTTTTTCATTTTGTAGTACATAAAATAAGCTTTAATTTGATATATGTTTAAAGGACGCAGTCTTTCCGGAACATTTTCAAAAATTAAGTTGAAAAAATTAATTTTTGTAAAAAAGTTGCCATTTTAAATCGTCCCCAATGAGCAGGTTAAGTGATAGATTTTAAATTAAATTGATAATTATTTTGTCAATTTAGAAAATAAGGGATTAATTACTAACGGATAAATAAAGTAATATATGAAACTAAAAATACAAAAAGTAATTTTCTTACTACAATTATTTTAAGATAAATCGAGTGGCTATTGTTAAAAGAATTACATACATTATTTATAGTTAAATGTATATTTTAAAAAAATATTAATTGAAAATTTCGAATAAGAAAGCTATGAACTTCATAACTTCATTAACTGCTATTACATAACAGGATGTTTAAATAACATTATATTTACATTTATTAAATAATTATAAGATTATAAACAATTCTAATACTTAAGCATTATGTGTTGTTAACATTACAATCTATTTTAAAATATTTCTTTAAATTGATTATTGGTTTGATTTATTTAAAAATCATTATTGAGAAATTATTTTTCTAGGTTTTTCACACTTATAACATGTATTACAATTATGGCATTTATGGCATTTATCACATCTATAACAGTTTTGGCAATATTCTCGTACCTCATTTACAACAAAGACTTTTGTCATTGAAGGGATATTAGCTACACTTTGGTATTCATTGTCTTGGCTAATGTTCGATTCATCAACAACCTCAAAATCAAATTCATTCAAATCTAATTTTAAGGGTTTCTGACTTTCTATAAAATCCAATTCTTCACCTTTTTGGTGATCTACAATTACATTTTCATCTTCAGATATAGCATCACTCTCCGAAGACGATAGTAAAGACATCGAGTTAATTGTTTCTATGGTAATTTCATTATTTTTTGAAGATTGTTCAATAACATCCTCCAAACTATCTTCTTCTAATTTTATTTCTAAGCGTTTACCGGTTTGGACAGATTCAGATTGCTTCTCAATGCTTTGTTTGGCTAAGTCGCCTTCTTGAATTAAATTAATTTTATTACCACGACCGTTCAGTTCATGACTAAATTGTCTTGTTTTATAAGTCTTAGGTACTAATAAATCATTCATATTTTCTTTAGTACCAATTGATGAACGAGTCTCAAAATTAAACAAATAACTAGGACACCTACTTCCACGCATAAAGAAATCATGAGTATTTCCTTTGTCGGTAAACATTTTCAAATTAAGTACTCTGAAAATGTAATTAGTTGAAAAAACATAAAAACTTTACATGCTATAAACACGTAACTAAGAAACACTACGTGTAGTTTAAATTTACTTTCTATACAGTTTCAACGAATTTAATGCAAAGCTAATAGATAATTTGTTATAAGTTATTCATTTTGAATAGAAACCAAAAAATTCCTTCTTTTTAGTTAGCTTCACTCATTTGCTAAAAATCTTTAAAATATCCAAGTTTATTAATACATTTAATAGAAGTTAAATTCTCGGTTTATTCATCAACAGTATATCAGCAAACTGTAATTTTTTGAACAAATTCTTAAATTCAAATTTCATAATTAAATTTATATCTGAATGATGAAAATAAATTGAAAAATCTAATTATTATAACAAGAGATAAAACCGATTAAAATTGATCTTTTCTAATTACATTGAAAACGATTTAATGTGTTTACGAATGAATAAATCTTTTCAATCGTTTTTTGATTACATTTTAGTCTTATACAGGGTGTTCAGTAAGTCAGGAAACGGGTTTCTATTGTTCTCATTGTTTGTAACAATGAGAACAATAGAAACCCGTTTCCTGACTTACTGAACACCCTGTATAAGACTAAAATGTAATCAAAAAACGATTGAAAAGATTTATTCATTCGTAAACACATTAAATCGTTTTNAATGATGTACATATATTAAATAATTGTTACTATTTTAAAAAGTGACTTATTTATTGATTTCCCATGGTTATAATCATTAACGTAATAATTTAGTAATACTGCTATATAATAATTTATAATGATTTAATTATCCTTTCTTGCTTGTAATAGTCTAAATTAATTATTAAATGGTTTAAAATAAAAATAAAATCTACTATTTTTAGCTTTGATGCGAAGCTGAAGTTAGCTTTAATGTAAGATATATATAAAAGTGTCAGACTTTCCGGAACACTTTCAAAAGTTAAGTGTAAGAGTAAATTTTTTGTGAAAGAGCTGTCATTTGAAATCCCCCCTGTGGACAGGTGAAGGGTCAAACTTATAAAAAAAAATATACCAAATGATAGGTAAAGATATAGAGCATCCATAAAAAAATAATATTAATTTGTTCATTTTTGAAAAAGTTATGGCAGTTTTAAGAAAAAAAAGTTGATAAAATTTCAAAAATTAGTGATTTTTAAATTTGTAATTTTTTTGGAGATTTCCCCCATTTACGGGGAACGAGGAAAATATTTTTAATTTTTGAGGGTAATGTCTTTGACTAGATATGATTTGTGATCTTTTGACGTATCATTGAAAGAAATCAGTTCGGTGAGAGCTGAAAAAAAGTGGTAAACAGACACAAAAAAAACTAAAAAAAAAATTTTAAAAAAACACATCATAGTAAAACCAATACCTTCTCAGCTTCGCATCGAAGCTAAAATTCATAAATAATTACCTTAGAATCAAACATAATGTAAATATGAAAATTACTAGTCGATAACAACTTTTGTATCAGAATATCATATGCTATTAACAATTTAAGGTAATAACTGGAAGTGATGTGTGGATACTGCTCATTATCACTAGACATTTCTCGGGCTCACTCCTTCTCCCACCTAGGTATATATAAATGTTAATAATTTCTAAATTACTGATTCAAAAATTGTTATTAACTAGTCATTTTCTTAATTAGATTTTTTTCTGTTTTATAAGATAGTTAAATATGAATGTTTCCGTTAAAAAATTAAAGTTGTCACCACCAGAAGTCATTTTAAGATACATATATAACTAACAAAAGACTAAAGTTATGTGTATATATATATAATAATAATAATTTTAATCTAGTCGATTAAATATGTTGATTTCATTAAGTTGTAATAGATTTTTGAAATTTAAACACAGTGTTAACAATTCCACTTTTTAAAAATATCTAAACTTGTGATCATTACATTAACTATGATTATAAAATTGTTGAGATATCTTATCGTACGATTACATTGTTCAGCATTATTTTTTTTATTAAATTTTATATTTAAAGTAATATATTTTAACCAACTTATTAAATTAATTACTTTTTAAAAATAACTTTTAGGCAGTTCAATTTTCATCGATCAAATCAATATTTAAAATTGATATACGATAAAATTACTGAAATAATTTTTTCTTAATAATATTACTGTTACTTTTTTAACTATGAAGTGGAATAATGTATTTTATTTACTAGGTCAAGTTTAACTAAAAACATTTTTTACTAATCTATTTTTATAAAATAACGTCGTATTTCCCTAGTTAATTAAAAAACATTGGTGTTAAACGTTAAACTACAATTAATGACTTATAACTAAGCAATTCTTTATTTAAAACTGATGTAATTAATGACTAGGTGATAATATTGGATAATACCATAACTATTATTGGAATTTCAGAATTATTTTTTATCATATTAATAACTAAAATTTACTTATTTAGATATTTTAAGTGTATAGTATCACTTGAAGTTTTAGTGTAAAAACAAAAGAAAAGGCTTTTGCGAAGTAACGATAAATGCACCCATAAAAATGGACCTCCATTTTTCAGGAGGCTCTAGTTAAGTTTTGATAATCTTTTTTTCTTTTATTTAAGAGTAAAAAATGTTTAGGGTTGATATTTTAGGTTTTGTACATGGGCTCAAAACTTATTGTGTAGAGCTTAACTAAGGGAATACTTACATAAATGTATGTGATATTCATTGTAAAAGAGGTAATAACTATTTTAAATAGAAGAATAACTCAATCACGTTTGAAAAATTCAAAATGTTTTCATTTTATTCAACTAACGAAGAAAAAAATAAATATAAATATTGAATATTCATTTATATAAGACAAATTTCAAGGAGTGATGAAATTAAGTTAGTTATTTCAAACATTATTTTCAAATTGTGACTATGCACAGGATAATTAAAATATGTCTATACTTTAATTTTAAACTATAATTATAATATTAACATAATAATAGCAGGTTTTTAATTTGTATAATAGGCATATATGTCTATAGACATCAAACTATTTATGACGTCTATTGGCTCCCTTGAAATGACAATAATAGTAAACTGGGTTTCTTAAGTTTTTCTTAGAAATATGCAATTAAGAATTTACTTACGAGTATCAATTAAGTGTCTTCCACTATATTAATTGATAAAATATTTATACAATCGTGTTAAGCTACTTTTTTTAAGATGCATTTTTTAATATTATAATGGTCCATTTGGAAGTAATGATATGATACTCTTTTAAACAAATGATAGTACTCCATTATTTTTACAAACATTTTTTCTAAATTTCATTACATTTGTATTTTGTACTACTTTAATTTAAATTATCGTACAAAAACTATACTTTTGCAAAGCGCATAATTATTTTGAATTCTTTTAACTTAAAGTTTATTATTGTTAAAACGTTAAATGTTTTAATCGATAACAACATAAAAACTTATAAAATTAATTTTTAAGTAAGTTTGTTTCACTCGGTTTCCTTTTCGGATTTCGATTTTCTTTTTTTGGCGACTGCCCATATTGTCTGTTTTAATGATTCTGTTGATTGTACATAGCATTATTTTCAAGCACCTCCGTTGCATAAAACATTCAACAGTCACATAACGATTGTTGATAACTATTTCCCTCAACTGCTTCATTAACATTCGTGAAATCGACTTCTCGAAATAATTGCCGTAATAAATCCACAAGTCATATTTGCATTGATATTTTTTTATTACCAGGTCTTGTGCGAGTTACAATATCACATTACTAATTTGAATAAACAAAACAGTCTAAATCGACATATGCGGAAGAATCATGATGGTCGTACATAAACGCAGATTGTTTGCTCATTGATCACGTTGGCTAATTTATTTAAAGGGATGTAACTCGATGGAGACCGTTCTGTATACGGCTCTCCGGGGGATACACGAAATTTCTCACTGATCAAGTCGTTTGTACTGAATTCTACTCCCTCCCTCTCTTACCCTCTCATTTTTTCTGTCGTTCACCCCATTTGTCGCTGCTTATTTGCTTGGCCCGTTGTCGCAGTTTCGTTGTACATCAAATATCTACCTGCGACGCTGGTGTTTGTTTTTTTTTTCCGGTTATTATGGGTTTTTTCATCAATAACTAAATGGGTGAATATATCTTCATAAAACGACTATTGTTGAATAATTTTTTTTTATGGACACGTTTTTTTTTTTTTGCACGTTCGATGTGTACTATACACAAAAATGATACAAAACCGTTATGGAGAGCTAAAAATAAAAAAATAATCAAATAATCAATACAATAATCAAATTACTGTATTGAAAACAAAATTATTTTGTTCGAAGCGTTCATTATTCTTTTTTTTAACAAATTACTGAGTTTATAAAAAAAAATACAGATAAGTAAATACTATAAATATTATTTTGCAGACATCCAAAAATGAAAAATATGAGAAGGTTTGACTATTTTTTATCACAACATGATTAATTTCCTAACTTATACACTACAGTAATTTGTATTTGCATTAATCATAATTGAGTTTGAACATGCAAGGTCATTGAGTAGGACCCAACGTTTTGTATTATAATTTGTTGTTGTTATTATTCGAGTAATATTATTCAATATAACATTTTACTAGATGAAATTTGATTTTTACGCCTACCCACTATAAAAATAAATAGATGGTAAAGTCGGTATTATTAAATACATTAAAATATTTTAAATAACCAATGTAAACATGTAAATATTCATAAATATTACATTCAGAAAAAATATATTTACCAACCACATTTTGGGCAAGTGTTCTAATGTAATAATGTTTTCGTTTTATCTTGTTGTTTGTAATTTATATTGAAAAATAAAAACAATTTCAGATACTTAAAAAATCAACGTCATTGCCATTACTAAATATAGAATACACAAGATCAATTACAAACCGGTGTCCTTGACTGTTGGATATTATTTTTGTTACTAAGACTGCTTTGTTATTATAATTTTTCAAAAATACTTTTTATTAACGTCGTACTTAATTAATTTTAATTTCTTGATGTGCCGATTGACGCGTCATGAACGCTGTATAATTATTTCGTGTTTACAAAATTGATTATTGATCTGTTAATGTATTAGTTCTTTTTTATAGCATAAGAAATAAATCAATTTAATACAGTAAATACTTAGGTCGATTTGTAGCACGATATATAACAGAATACAATAAAACTGTATCGTTTATTTTAAAACAAATATTTTTGACCTACCTTAACCAGTTTATTATATCCAAGGAAATGTATGTCCGCGACACGATATTTTGTTTAGAGCGTAATTACTGTATTATTTGGTCACATTAACTTTTAGTTACTCTATCATTTTTCTAATGACGCCATATCTAGAACCATTAGATTCCCATGAAAACTATACAACGAACAATAAGTAAAAGATTTTGTTAAATAATAAACTAGAACATTGTTGGCTTATATTCCAGTGTAATAATGTCATCCCATAGTATACATTTCTTACCAATTCTTGACAATGTTTAAGTGTTCTCACGCGTGCCCATATAGTCTTCCTGTGTAACAAGGTCAATGTCATGCTGTGCGTCACAAAGTATTTGCTGAGTGACGGCACAAGATGAGAAACGGACAATAAATTGTATACGAAAACTGTAACGTTCGTTTTGAACGTTGCACATGATAATAGTCTGAAATATTATTAATGACTATCGAAGTTATTGTGAACGCCGAAAGAAATCTTAAAGATTTGTCAATAAAAACCAAATCAAATTTGATAACACCATTGAGCCTACGTCGAGTAGTAAGATGTATGGACAGTGTATTTTTCGTATGACGTTACTGTCGGCAAGATCTTAAAGAACTCAATGACCTGTTAGAATAAAATCACCTGGTAAATAATTCATCACTATCGACGAATTCAATAAAAACAACAGCTCTTCTAAATGTTATTTATGTAAAAGTCAAAAACGTTTAAAAAAACTAGTAAGTTGTTTTTGGAAAAAGTCCCTGTGCGCGTATAACCCTCGTTCATTGTCGATTTACACGAAGTCCACCTACTAATAAATACAGTACTGATCCCATCATGTTGTTTCGCGTGCCACAATGTCCGTACGGTCTTGTTATTACTTTTTATCTTATAGCATGCACACTGTATTATTGTTATTAAGGCAAAATATCGGACAAACACAACGAATCTATCGATGGAGGTCCCCGTGGGAAATGCGTGTACAGTGGAGAATTTCAAATGAAATAATAATAGTTACATTCTGCGCTTGCATCGTTTAGCATTCATTGAAATGGATTATTCAAGAGTGTTTTATTTCTATAGCTTAAAATATATAAGTTGCCAAACACCAAGTAATTATTACTCGCTACTGATGATTGTGTTTAATTATAAGGAACCTCTTGTTGTTATTATAACGCGCTCATGGCGCTATTTTAATATTTATTAATACGAACCTTGCAAATGTCACGTTGAGTCTTTTTCCTGACTATCTACTGGTTCCCACAAGACCTATAACTTTCACCAAATACCTATTGTTTTTATACCGTACCTTATGCTTCGAATGTATGTTTTTTCACGCCTTGAACAACATGATCTTTGTATTTCTACCGAATTCTTTGCTCTCGATAGTTACTTTATTCTACCAACGCCGTTAAAAAATTCAAACCTACAATAATATTGCCGAAGCGTATGTTGTGTTTTCTCGCTATGAAATGAAGTTATATATAATTATAAAATATATTATACATATGGGTTGATAAATACTGCAATATTTCAAAAGTTTTCAATTTCTGTGACGAATTTTTCCCCTTATTTTCAATAAATTTTATACATGTTTGAATCTATTTACTATAGAGAAATAAAATCTGTAAGTTTGTTAATTTTACAAATAAATTGTTTCTTTCGTGTTAAATCTATTTTGGATTTCTATGTCATTTAGTCAACATAAAATTATACTTAAACAAAGTTACATTGATCCCAAAAATACTGTTAATTTAAAACAATATTAAAAATTATTAAATTGAAAATTTTCTCAAAATGATAGTAACTAATAGTTGAGTCTGAGAGCAATTGATTGTCTCCGATAATATTACAGTGATGTGTAATTAATTGTTAAATAATCCAAAATATTTTAGTTGCCAGGTTTCCAAAACATGGGACCAATCATATATATTATTTCATTTAGTGGCTTTAATTAATTATAAGCCATAAACATTATCCAAGTTGTAAGTTGTTTCTGATAGCTTTAGGAATTAAATCCTATCGAATTCACATATTATACTACCCTTACATGAATTTATTCGATAATATGTGAAATTATCAAATCAATTTATCCTAGCTATAACTTATTTTAATAGTTATTACTAAGTGGTAGTTATTACTACTTATTATCCTTCTATCAATTAAACTCGATAATAAATTAGCCAATTAACTACTACCCTACATCAAATATAACTTTCATTTTTGATTTATTTTAGTTTATCATTTGGTAGTATAGAATTCATCTATTATTATTACATAAAAATGAAAAGATCTACAGAGTAAAATTATAATTTGAGTAAGTAGTTTAGATAAATATATATTATGAATACTATTTCTGAGAATAAATAAAAATCTTTTGCTAGCATACTGAGTTGATTTTTTAATAGCTAGTCATTTATGTGACTCAACTAATTATTGAAAATAAATAAAAACAGCAATTTTGGTCGATGCCAACTTTTGGACCAGTATTTCAGAAGTTACTATCATTTTACATCTAGACATTTAGAGGAATGTGGCCTATAAATGTCTAGTGATAAAAATA